GCGCCAATTGCGGCTTCGATCGCGGCGTGACAGAGGCTCCGCACTTGGCGCCAACTCGGTTCCGTCCAAGACTACACGAGCGGGTTTCTGGCGCTATGCGAGCAGGTGGGATACATGCATGAGAGCGAGCGCATCGACCGCTACATCGGCGGCCTGAAGCAGGACATCGCTCAGGAAATCCAGCTTCGCGGCGTCACCGACTTTCAGGAGATTCTCGCCATGGCGGAGAAACTCGATTTCTTCTGCCGACCGAGACCGGGGTCCTACGGAAGCAGCCATTGGGGACATCGGCCTCGTGGGACGAGCGAGGGCGCTACGATACGTGCCGTCGCCGCAAATGCCGCTGCCGCACCGTTCAAAGGGCGCTGCTTTGCGTGCAACTGGCCGGGACACCGCAAGAGCGAATGCCCGGAAAATGCTAAGGGAAAGGGGGAAGCTGAGCAGCAGAAACAGACCAAGCAGCAGGGAAACGCTGGGAGTCAGTAGCAGACGGGCCCTCTACTGACCGGTCACGCCGCTCGCCCGACCCAACCGACCCTCACCGAGTGATTGTGCCGGTTCACACAATCGACCACACCCGGCTGAATAAGGAGGGTACTACGGTAGACAGCCCTATACTGCTTAGTGGGAAAATCGGGACGGACTTAGTTAAAATCTTCGTAGACGGAGGGGCCAGCCACAGCCTTATCAACGCTGCCACAGCACGAAAACTGCGACTGCCACTGGACAGATGCTTACCTGAGATCGACACAAGACTGGTCGACGGTACGCCACTGGCGATACGGGAACGCGTGGACCGAGTTCGGATTCGATGCGGGGGCAACTTCACGTTTAGCCAGGAAATGCTCGCAACGACCCTCGACGGAACCGATATTTTACTCGGGCGTGATTGGCTGCGACGACACAATCCGCGAATCGACTGGACGACGGGTGAGTGCACTGTGCGAGTGAACGGTAACAACATCGCCTTACCCCGCTGGGGCTCGCCTGAGTCTTCGTCGGTCCGTGTCAACGCGATCACGATGAAACGCGCCGTAGCGGCAGGAGCTGACGTGTACGCGGTCGACATTCGGGAAGCCGAGGCAGTAGACAAAGGAGGGGACTTACAGAAACTGCTAGCCGACGTACCGAGTGATCTGGCAGCACTGATGAAGCAGTACAGTGACATCTTCCCGGACGACCTACCGACGGGACTGCCACCTCAGCGACCGCACGACCACAGGATCGAATTAGAACCGGGGGCACAGCCAATAGTACAGCGAAAGTGCCGACTGACCCAACCCGAACAGGATGAACTGAGGAAGCAACACTTCGCTGCGTGCAAGAAATCGATCTCAGCCGAAGAAACCGCTCGACTGTTCATTGCAGCCGTCGTTCGACTGCATGGGATACCAGCCGCGATAATCAGCGACCGCGACACGAAGTTCACCAGCAACTTGTGGAAGAACCTCTGAGAGCAGTTCGGGACAAGGCTACAGTTCAGCTCGTCGTACCACCCCGAGACCGACGGTCAAACGGAGCGGACGAATCAGACGATGGAGCAGTTGATTCGTGCCACGTGCGACGACCCGATCACTTGGGAGCAGCAGCTGCCGCTGATCGAGTTCGCGTATAACAACGCCACGTCAGCGACGACGCGGCAGTCCCCTTTCTACCTGAACTACGGGCAAAACCCTACAGTGCCCATGACACCGAGTCCGGACAACCCAACACCACGCGCACAGCAATTCGCCGAAATTCTGCAAGCTGCCCGCACCAGAGCCGCAGAAGCAATTAATAAAGCCAACGTCATCGCTAAGCGCAACGCTGACCGCCACCGCCGCCAAGTCACGTACCAGTCAGGAGATTACGTACTGCTCGACACACAGAACTTTAGACTGCCCGTCGTACCGAAATTGCGACCCCGCTACTGTGGACCATTCCATATCAGCCACATGATTACCCCGGTGACAGCCCACCTCCTGTTGCCGACGGACTGGTACATCAGCCCTTCGTTCCACGTCAGCCTGCTTCGCCCATACATCCCAACCACAAGCCAACTGCCTCGTCACCGCCCGCCATCCATGACTCGCCCTGCATCGGAGCCGATCATCAAGCCCGAAAAAATCCTGAGCCATCGGATTTGACACCCCACGGGAATCAGGAGGATTGAATTCCTCGTTCGCTGGAAGGATCGCACGCCAACTGAGGATAGCTGGGTGCCCCTGGCCAACATCGAAAACCACCCTGCCCTGCAAGTGTACCTGAGGAGCCGGGGTTTCCGCGATATACAGGCACTCGCGTAGCGGACGGGGCTTCTTGAGGGGGGGGGTAGTGTAAGGAATTTTCTCGATATTCCTTAGCGCGCCCTGCAACATCGCGTACAACAGCAGCCGTTGTTTGCCCGTTACTGCTAACGGGGCTCCGCCGACTTCGCGCGCACTGTTTTCCCAAACCTCGTACTGCTGGACCGGCCGTGTCGGCCTACGCTTCGGGACTAGCCCGAGCCTCGCTTCCAGCGTAGCACTAGCTAGCTCGCACGCACCGCGTTACCGTTTGCATGTTTCGCGTATAAATGTTCGCTCATGCCTTCGCTCACATTTTGTACTCGTTTGACACCTTAGTGCAATTCTCGCTACTTCGATTCAATTCTCGCTACTTCGATTCATTGCACCCGTAACAGTGTTCCACAAGCCCTGCCCCTCAGCCAGCTTTGTGTTCAGGTAGTAAGCAAACTATTCAACCCGGCCACCTCTGCTTTTATCTGTTCATGATAATCTGCATAAAACGCATCATATTCTCCATAATCTACAGCTGCGTTCAGCCTCTCAAGGTAACTCGGGCGATACGTTACGTGGTGGTAACCAGTTCTGGAAATCCGATCAAAGTCACCAGCATCACCAGAGGATCCCTTGCGGAGGTTCAGGCGAGCAACCTGGTGGTGCGAAATTGAGGGAGAGTGTGATGGAGGGGAAGGGAGAGTGTGATGAGGGGAAGGGAGAGTGTGATGAGGGGAAGGGAGAGTGTGATGAGGGGAAGGGAGAGTGTGATGGAAGGAAAGGGAAAGCGTGATGAAGGACAGCAGGAGAGTAATGCTGAGATGACTCTAACATGACTACAACAGAAAGGGCTGAAACCTCACCTGGTAACCAGACAGCCACACTCTTGTCGCCAGCTGCCAGTCCGACAAGATCGCCGCTTCACCCTCCTGATCATCAGCCTCATCCTGCCCACCCAGGCACCTTACCACGCTGCGCCTCCACGTGTTTTGCATGGGAAAGCAAAAACCTCACATGCTACCTTGATGATCCGAATGGGTTGAAACCTCACCTGGTAACCAGACAGCCACATCCTTGTTGCCAGCTGCCAGTCCGACACAATCGCCGCCTCGCCCTCCCGGTCGTCAGCCTCATCCAGCCCACCCAATCGCCTCAGCACGTTTCTCCGCACCACCAGAGGCATCCCCGTGACCAGCCCAGTGAAATGCATCCCCAATCCAGTCTCTGGGTCTCTCCTCTTCAGCCCTTTCACCCTCCTCCCCCCTCTCACATTCCTCCCCTCCCTCTCCCCCTCCTCCCCCGCCCCCTCCACCTCATCCTCCTCTCGAGCCAAGTCTGTCCAGAACCTGACGATTTTGCCGGTTGTAGGGGCGGTGAGATTTGTCATGTTATCCGTCCGATAGCCGACCATTCCAAGCCTGGGCCATGCGAAAAACGCAGAGAGCAAATCCTGCAGCCAATCACAGCTCTCGGGCGGCAAATAGTCGTCCTGTAGCAGCACTAGCAGGTCGCCTCGTGCCATCCATGCCAGATCATTATACCCCTGGGAATCGTCCACTGAATGGGGTAGTACCGGCACGACAAAAATCCCCGGATCGGTTTTGGTCCACATTTCCATCCACTGCCCGAGGGTTTTCTCTGGCTCGAAAACATTTACAAGCAATTCTGCCCGAGCACCCGGTATTTTTCCAGTGCCCAGCATCCCATTTGTACACCCATATAAACGCCCCACCAACGGTTTTACCCGCTCCGGAGCCCCGTAATACCGAAGCAAGAAGGTGAAATGCGCCCGAACCTCCGGGTACTGGTCCGGAAACAGGTCCGGATCCTTTTGCCAGACGTAAGGTGGAGCTTCCAGGCCCGGCCGATCCTCGTACCCAGGATCGAGCCTCTCCCAGTCCATGCACTGAGGTTCGGCACCAGCTGCGGCAGCTAAAGTGTGAAACCGAGCCAGAAACTCGTCCTGCTGTGCCGTCCAGTTGCTGTGTGGTAACCGCATGCCACAATCCCCTAAAAGCCTATCCTGAATTCGTCGGAGAGTGGACGATGCTGACGTGGCACGTGCCAGGCTGGCGTCCCGATCAGATTGCGCGTCAGCGACGAATGCTGATGCGGACGAATGGTCGGGTCCCTCTCGGTCGAACCAGAAGGAGTAGATCTGATACCACATGACGAAGGCTTCAAGCCGTGTCTTGTTGGCTGGAAGAAGGAGCGGGCAGGCAACAACAACGCAACACGCAAAAAAACAAAGGAGAAGAGAGGGAGCCGGTTCTTGAGAATTCTCAAAACCAGCAAGAGTTCGCATTTGTGTGCATGTTGACTTTTAAGTCGACTCAAAAGTCATTTGTGTACATGTTGAGGAAGGAATGATAGTAGTGTTTTGAGTCGACTCAAAACACGGTTCGCATTTGTGTACATGTTGAGGAAGGAGTGATACTAATACTGATGCGCACGAATGGTCGGGCCCCTCTCGGTCGAACCAGAAGGAGTGGAGCTCGTAACACATTAGAACGGCTTCGAGCCGCTGCTTGTTAGCTGTGGGGAGGAGTGGGAGAGGGGTACGGGAGAGGGGTCCCTCTCGGTCGAACCAGGAGGAGTAAAGCTGGTATCACACTAGAACGGCTTCGAGCCGTTTCTTGTTGGCTGTGAGGAGGAGTGGGAGGGGTAGGGGCGGGGAGGAGGAGGATTGGGAGAGGGGTAGGGGTGGGGGAAGGGGATGGGGGATTGATACAAATACTAGTGTCACACGCGAAAGGCTTCAAGGCTCTTCTTATTGATCCCCAGGTCCATCCCCAGGTCCATCCCCAGGTCCATCCCCAGGTCCGTCCCCAGGTCCGTCCCCAGGTCCATCCCCAGGTAGGTCCATCCCCAGGTAGGTCCATCCCCAGGTCCATCCCCAGGTCCGTCCCCAGGTCCATCCCCAGGTCCATCCCCAGGTCCGTCCCCAGGTCCATCCCCAGGTAGGTCCATCCCCAGGTAGGTCCATCCCCAGGTAGGTCCATCCCCAGGTAGGTCCATCCCCAGGTAGGTCCCTCAGCTCCCTCAGTCGCCGGTTTTTGAGATTTCTCAAAAACCACCCCTCCAGCTCCCTCAGTCGCCGGTTTTTGAGATTTCTCAAAAACCACCCCTCCAGCTCCCTCAGTCGCCGGTTTTTGAGATTTCTCAAAAACCACCCCTCCAGCTCCCTCAGTCGCCGGTTTTTGAGATTTCTCAAAAACCACCCCTCCAGCTCCCTCAGTCGCCGGTTTTTGAGATTTCTCAAAAACCACCCCTCCAGCTCCCTCAGTCGCCGGTTTTTGAGATTTCTCAAAAACCACCCCTCCAGCTCCCTCAGTCGCCGGTTTTTGAGATTTCTCAAAAACCACCCCTCCAGCTCCCTCAGTCGCCGGTTTTTGAGATTTCTCAAAAACCACCCCTCCAGCTCCCTCAGTCGCCGGTTTTTGAGATTTCTCAAAAACCACCCCTCCAGCTCCCTCAGTCGCCGGTTTTTAAGAATTCTCAAAAACCACCCCTCCAGCTCCCTCAGTCGCCGGTTTTTAAGAATTCTCAAAAACCACCCCTCCAGCTCCCTCAGTCGCCCCAGTATGAACTGCCCCACTGCCTCTGGGTTGTTCCTCCTCGGTTGTCCCTGGGTTGTTACCGGTTGTACCCCACTCAACCCCAGATCCCACTCACGGTTTTTAGCGTCCATGGCCGCAGCGGTGGCGTTGGCCTGGGCAGCACTGATCCTCAGATCTTTCAGCAGCGGGCGGTACCCGTCCAATTCCTTGAGCCGCCCCAGCATGAACTGCCTCACTGCCACTTCTCTGTCCCATTGCTGGTAGATCTGCAGGGCTGGTGGGGGGGAAGGACGGGGGGGGAAGCAGCCAGTGGCCTGAGCAGCACTGAACCAGCAGGAGCAGCAGGTATCCTCCCAGCACAGCCCCTCAGCAGCGGCCGGTACCGGTCCAATTCCTTGAGTCGCCCTAGCACGAACTGCCTCACTGCCACCTCCCTGTCCCATTGCTGGTAGATCTGCAGGGCTGGTGAAGGAGGATTGGGGAGGTGGGAGAGGGGGAGGATTGGGGAGGTGGGAGAGGGGGAGGATTGGGTAGGTGGGAGAGGGGGAGGATTGGGGAGGTGGGAGAGGGGGAGGATTGGGGAGGTGGGAGAGGGGGAGGATTGGGGAGGTGGGGTGCAGGTATCAGCCCACCCAACCCAGGTCTTCCAATCTACCGCAAGGCACCCATTCAGATCCCTCAGCATTCCTGGAGTTGGATCTGAAAAATTCTGTGCCCCTGCCACTGACCTCCATGGAACCTCTTCTCAAGCCCCTGAGCTCGAGTGTAGAGCTCCAAACACTCCACAAGCGGCCCTTTCTCCTCCTCCCTCCTCTCCCCCTCTCCCCTCCTTCCCGCCTCTCCTCTCCTCTCCCCCTCCATCCCCTCCTTTCCCTCCCCGTTCGCCCCTACTCTCCCCTTATCCCGCTCCCGCCCTTCTTTCTCTGCAAGCTTCCTCAGGTCAACAGTGGTTGCCTGCATGTCCCTTAGAACCGCAGACGCCGTCTCTACGCTGGGAACCCTCAGAATCGCGTCTGCTGTCGCTTGATCCACCACCGTTGCCTGAGAGTCTGCCTTATCCCTCTCCTCGCTCAGTTGCTGTATGGCTCGGTCGAGTACGGTGTTGAGGTGTGCTGCATCCCTCTCTAGCCGCCTGTCCAGGTCTTGAAGCCAGTCGGCCGTGTCCCGGTTGTGCTGCTGCAGCAGACGCAGCAGTGGGGATCTGGAAGTGGAAGAGGCGAGCAGAGGAGAAGAGCGAAAGGAGGGACTCGAGTGTATTTAAGAGTATATCGTCTTTCGCAAACCAGTGGGTGGGTGGAAATTCATGGAGAAGTTATGGTACATTTCCACTCTTTCCGAATTCTGTCTTCCACCGCCACTCGCCTCCTCTTAGACAGCAAAATAGATAAGTGTATTTTCGCCTCCTCCTTATCCCCCTTCGTCCCATCTCCCCTTTCTCTCCTCCTTCCTTGCATAGCCCTTGCCCCCATTTCCCCAGTCCCTGATCTCTTCCCAAAACCTCCTTCCCGCCAGTCACTTCCCACTCCTGCTCCTCACCTCTCACCCAAATCAGGGTACAGCGACCAATCATCATCAGCCACGTCATCCCCTTTGCGTTCCCAGCCCGAATCTGCACGAGACGCAAAACTCTGGTCCCCAAGCTCGCTGTCAAGGAGGGTGGAGAGGTCGTCGCGTGCTGACGTGGATGAAGGTGATTGGACAACGGGGGGTGATTGAGAGGAGGAAAGGGAGGAGGAGGGGGAGGAGGACGGGGAGGAGGAGGTGGGGAATGACGAGGGTGAGAAGGCGGAGTGGATGGGAGAGAGGAGGAGGTGGAGGAAGGCAAAAAGGAGAGCAGCGAAAATCCCAACGGCTATTTTGCCAGATGTGCTGCTGGGTTGTAGTAGCCTTGCTGGGATGGCATCAATCAGCCTGGTTAAGTCCGGTTGAGGTGAGATTCTGCTCGGTAATAGCCTTGTTAGGGTGAGAGATAATTGGCTGATTATAAGAGTGAACCAGCTGATCATATGGTTGAAGCACGGGTTGCTACCGCCGCTACCTCTGCCTCCTCCGCCGATGCTGCTGCTGCTGCTGTTGCGGCTACTGTCACCATTGTTGCTGCTGATACCGCTGCTATTCACGTTGCTGACGCCGTTGCTGCTGTTACGGCTGCTGCTGTAACTGTCGCCATTGCCGCTGCTACTGCTGCTGTTGCACTTGACGCTGCTACCGCTGACCTTCTCAGCTGCTGCTCGAGAGGCCCGCGATGGCTCCTTCGCTTTCCGCGGCATCTCGCTTCAAGAGATGCTTGTGGCTGAAAGAGAAGGAGCGAAACGCCAGATTGAGATGCTTGTGGACTCTCCGGACTGTCATTCACTTCTCCAAATTCCCGAATATCACTCGGCGTTCGAGTTTCTAGACGTCTCAAAACTCCAGTTTTCTTTCATTGTGCAGCATTGCTTCTCTTGCGCGCGATGGCCACATCGCGGTTCCGGGTACGGCGGAGGTGCGGGGGGCGCGTTGTGACTACTGGGGGCGGCTCATAAGGCGGACGGAGAGCGTGTTCAAGTGCTCTCACACACGGTTATCACTCGCTTGAAGCTACTTTATTTCAGCCGCGCGGGAATGGAGTATAAGGCGTGTGAAAGGCGCTCGCGTTCACACGCTATGCTCTACCTCGTAGTCGACGATTCTGACTTAGATAGAAACGGCATGAAAGCCGCATACGCGCAACGGTACATTGGCGAGAAAAGACCTCGTCGCGGCGCAACGCTACATTGGTGAGGCAGAAATTCCTAAACGGCTGCGAATGTATGAGATGGCGAGCTGAGCTGTGCTTGGTGTGTTGGCTGGGAATGTGGAGCAAAGATATTATCTAGTTTGTGGCTGGGCATACACCCAAGGTTCAGTTTGGTGCCGTGGAGTGCGAAAAACCGAAGGTCTTGGCAATACAATGCTTGCTTTTCAGCATCACACATGGACAAACGTCTTTATCTGGTAATATACTCGTTATTGCGTCTGCTTTTATGGAGATTTCCGAGGTTGCGAAATCTCGGAAAGCACAACCCCTACCGCGCGTAGTGTTCCTCCAAAGCTGTGTTCGACCTTTACGAATTCTTCATTTAGATTTGCGAAAGCGTTACCGGGTCAGTCTCACAGGTTCGGCTCCTTCGGAGAAACTAGTACACGCCCTCGTGTAGCCGTTGCAGCCGAAAATCTCAAGGCTCGATTTTCCTTGGGGATCGCAACGCAAGTCGATTTCTGTTCCAATCGCTGTTCCTCCGCAATGCAGCTACACCATGGCCATAGGTTGGCCTTCACCTCTTTCACCTCTTTTCATGGCCGAATCCTTGCCACCATGTGAATCGCTCTGTTCCAGTTGCTGGAGTGATCAACAAGTGACCATGTTGTGATTGTTAGCGATCATCCTCTAACGGACCAGTCCAGCTCGCTGGAAAAGCGATAAGAACCGTTTTGTGAGAGCTGCTTTTCGATTCGCAAGAATCGGTCGTTTACGTGTTTGCACTTGGTGCCAGGAGGACCCCTGCTGCATCGCCTTTTGGAAAACCTAGATCCGTCGCTACTGCTTGTTTCCCAAAAATAAACCCAGCATTGACAGGTGACTTTTGAGTCAACTTAAAAGCGGTCGTTGACTCCTGAGATTTCTCGAAAGTGTTTCCGAAAAATATAACAAGCATTGGCAGCTATGCTGCCGAATCGGGCGATCATCGCGTCGCAGTTTTGGAACCACGAGTGCGGCTCGGCGCAGTCACTCGAAGCCGTGGTCCCCGCTGTCCCGAACGAGCCGCCTTCGACCGGCATTCACCTGGGTAGCGGAATCGCGCGATCACAGCAACTGCTGCTCCTGCAGAAGCTCCTACCAAGTACCCCTCCTTTCTCCCTAGCCTTTCTTCCACTGAGCCGTTTTTCTCTTAGCCATTCTCCCTCTTTGCCGTTACCACCCATTACCTTCCTTGCACTCAGCCGTTCTCCCTCTTAGCCTTCCTTAAAGTAATCATTCGCTCCGTTTGTCCCTTCCTCCCATTCCCGCATATCGAACCCGTGGACTCCTTGCACTTCTTTCCTCCCCCATTCCAATCCATCATCTACCTCCTATCCGCCACCGCTACCCTTCCTAGGGTCAGCCGGAAATCCGTCGTCTCATTCACAAGCGGTCATCCGTCTCCCTATCTCTCCTCTCGTCCTCTCATTCTCTTTCTCTTTCTCGTTCTCCCTATCCGGTCGGCCTCTCACTTTTCTTTCACTCGTGCCCGCCCCGTCCTTAACTCCTCTCTTCCCGGGCGACAGTCCCCTTCACGCCATCCTATGCTGCTGACGTGGACGATCAAGGTGGATGGGTGGTCGACCGAGTGCTATCTGGTGTGGGCGGCAGGGACTGGTATGTACAAACCCTAGCTCCAACCCCTTATCTTACCATATCGTGCCATGTCTTACCATATCTTATCATATCTTACCATATCTTATCATATCTTACCATACCTTACCAGATCCAACCGTATTATACAACTTTTCAGCATATGTTGCCATCTCTTGCCATATGTTGCTGACATACGTTGTATCTCGCCGTGCTGCTATCAGGTGGGCAACAGTAATGGGCCGGCTGAGAGTCCAGCGCATGTGGAGAAAGCATTTCCAGCAGCAGACCAACACAACCCTAACCGCCAATGCTCCCCATACAGCAGCAGCAGCAGCAGCAGCAGCAGTGACTGATACCGCCACAGGCAACAACAGCAGCAGCGGCAACAGCAGAGCTAAGGACTGCCCCAGTTCCTCCGCAGGATGGTTCCAGGATCCTTCCATGTATGCGCTCTCGGCCCGTACGCGCATCGCGCTGGGGAAGCAGACTTGGCTAAGCGGCAGTGCTGAGCTAAGCACGCTTGCAGGCCTGGCATCCGCACTTCAGGACAAGATAATGGGACGACAAAGGAGGGAAGGTGGTGCTGTGACAGGGAGTGAGGAGGGGAGTGGGGAGCGAGGAGGAAAGGCTTCGGGGTTCAGAGGCTTTTTCTCGCTACGCCATAAGGTACATGGGGGGCTCTTGTGGTTTCATACAAAAAAAAATATAGGGGAGGGGAGGAGGTGGATGGGGACGGTGGAGGGGTGGTTTCAGGGTTCAGAGGCTTTGTCTCGCTACGCCATAAGGTACACGGGGGGCTCTTGTGGTTTCATACAAAAAAAAAATATAGGGGAGGGGAGGAGGGGGATGGGGAGGGCGGAGGAGAGGCTTCGGGGTTCAGAGGCTTTGTTTCGCTACACCATAATGTACATTGGGGGTACTTGTGGTGGCTAAGAGGACTTTTTTTAGTAGGCTAATAGGTCGACTCGTTACACGCGGTTTCTACATTCAGAGGCTTTGTCGCGCTACGCCATAAGGTACATTGGGGGCTCTTGTGGTTTCCTACATAGGGGAGGGGAGGAGGTGGGTGGATGGGGAGGGTGGAGGAGAGGCTTTGGGCTTCAGAGGCTTTGTCTCACTACATCATATGACATAAGGTACGCAGGGCTCTTGTAGTGGCTAAGAGGACTTTTAACTCGACACAATATTGGCTACTGATAGTCCATTGAACTTTTTCTGTTAGATGGAAGCTCTTCTCATGGACCAGGATTTGATAGGCCGAGCAGGGTGGGGCGAGCAGGGTGGGGCGAGCAGGGTGGGGCGAGCAGGGTGGGGCGAGCAGTGTGGGGCGAGCAGGGTGGGGCGAGCAGGGTGGGGCGAACAGGGTGGGGCGAACAGGGTGGGGCGAACAGGGTGGGGCGAACAGGGTGGGGCGAACAGGGTGGGGCGAGCAGTGTGGGGCGAGCAGGGTGGGGCGAGCAGTGTGGGGCGAGCAGGGTGGGGCGAGCAGGGTGGGGCGAGCAGTGTGGGGCGAGCAGGGTGGGGCGAACAGTGTGGGGCGAACAGTGTGGGGCGAACAGTGTGGGGCGAACAGTGTGGGGCGAACAGTGTGGGGCGAACAGTGTGGGGCGAACAGTGTGGGGCGAACAGTGTGGGGCGAACAGTGTGGGGCGAACAGTGTGGGGCGAACAGTGTGGGGCGAACAGTGTGGGGCGAACAGTGTGGGGCGAGCAGGGTGGGGCGAGCAGGGTGGGGCGAGCAGGGTGGGGCGAGCAGGGTGGGATCGTGCTGGCCCCTACGTGGACCCTTTTTAGAATACCTGTGTATCCTTCTTGTGCCTTCCTTCCCTCCTTTTCCCCGCCGCGTTCCCTCTTCCCGTGTTTCCGGCACGATTTGATTGCACCAGCAGGGTGGGGCGAGCAGTGTGTGTGTGGACCGCGCTGGCCGCTACTGGACGCTCGTCAGTCAGTCTGTAACACCACCATTATCCTCCTCCCCTGCCCTGTGTTCCCACATCCGTTCATTCTTTTCCAGATGAAGGGCCACGATTTGATAGCGCGAGCAGGGTGGGGAGAGCAGTTTGTGCACCGTGCTAGCCGCTACTGGATGCTCCTCACTCAGCTTAAACAGCTTTGTTTGCCCTCCCCCTCCCACGCAGATGAAGGGTCACGATTTGATCGCCCGCGGGTGGGGCGAGCAGTGTGTGGGCCGCGCTGGCCGCTGCTGGACTCCTCTAGAACAGATGTAGACCCATCTCCTGCTTTCCTTTCTTCTCCCTGTTGCGCTCCCATTTGCGCTTCTCCAGATGAAGGGTCACGATTTGATTGCACGAGCAGGGTGGGGCGAGCAGTGTGTGGACCGTGCTGGCCGCTACTGGACGCTGCCCCGTGCGCTCTCCCTTGACTTCGCCTCCCTGGTCACAAGAGAAGGGCTGCGCTACCGCTTCGGCCTGCAGCACGTGGGAGGGAAACCAGAGGTGAGACTAGAAAGCCTGCTGCTGCCCCGTGCGCTCTCCCTTGACTTCGCCTCCCTGGTCACAAGGGAAGGGCTGCGCTACCGATTCGGCCTGCAGCACGTGGGAGGGAAACCAGAGGTAAGGCTAGAAAGGCACAGGCAGGCATGTTGCGAGGGGAAGTCTTTGACACGCAGACCGTTGTGAGAAGAGGTGGCGGCACAAAGTAGCGTTTAGAGCACCTTCCTGACCCTCTCATCCCCCATCGCGCTCTCCCTCCCCCCCGTCTCTCCCTCTCCCCCGTCTCTCCCTCCCCCCCGTCTCACCCTCTCTCAGGAGAGTGCAAGGCCAGGCCACGGGGAGGCGAGGGTGGTGCCGTGGGGGGCGAGGGCGGGCACGCGGGCACAGGCAGGCATGTCACTGGAGGGGAAGGTGACTGTGTGGAAGGACCGATGCGAGAAGAGGCGGCGACAGAAGGAAGCCGCCAAAGCTGCTTCCTCCGTGCCCTCTGCCTCGTCTTCCTCCTCGTCATCATCATCAGCAGCAGAATTGAAAGCACCGCTCCCATCCTCGTCGTCCTCCTCCTCATCCTCCTCCTCTTTTTCCTCCTCCTCATCCTCCTCCCAATCTCTTCATCCGCATTCTCCCACCCCTTCATACAACTGGCTGGCTGCTCGTCCACGCATCACCCTATCTGCCGTGCTCGGTGAGTTCCAATGCTGCTGTACTATCCTCTCTACTCCTCTCAACTCCTCTCTATTCCTCTCTACTCGTCTCCACTCCTCTCTACTCCTCTCTACTCCTCTGCTCTCTTGTCTCCTCCTCCTACCCCTTCATACAACTGGCTGGCTGCTCGTCCGCGCATCACCCTATCTGCCGTGCTCGGTGAGTTCCAATGCTGCTATACCATCCTCTCTACTCCTCTCTACTCCTCTCTACTCCTCTCTACTCTCTACACCCTCGTCTCCCTCGTCTCCTCCTCCTACCCCTTCGTACTACAACTTGCTGGCAGCTCCTTCGCGCACCACCGTCTCAGTCAGCCGTGCTCGGTGAGTCCCACCTTCCCTGCTCTTGAGGCATGTTGCTGTCTCACGTGCTTGCACCGGGATCTCAATCATCAACAGCACAGTTCTTGTATTAGTCGACTCAAAAACATTCATACTCCCCTCCCCCACCCTCTCCCCTCCTCCCCTTTCAGGGGGTCTGGCTTCCACAGAGATCTCAACCAGCAGCAGCAGCAAAAGCAGCAAAAGCAGCAAAAGCAGCAACACCAGCAACACCAGCAACACCAGCAACACCACCACAACGCAAAGCCAGGCATCCAGCTCAAGGGTGAACGGAGCAGGGACAATCGGGACGGAAGACACAACGGGGTCCTTCCGTCTCTCCTCTTTCCGTCCCTCCTCACTTCAGCTCTCCTCGCTCTCCACCGATCTCTTTGCGTCGGTGGCGGTAACCGCACAGCTGGGCATGTTTGAGCGAGCTCTTTTCGACCACACTCTCCTCAACGCCACGCTCACCTGTGGCTCCCTCTCTGCTGCTGGCTACAACCTCTCCCAACCTGCGTCCGCCACGTCAGCGCTGGCGCCAGATGCCACGTCAGCGGTGACGTCAGGTGCCACGTCAGAAGGTTGGCGGAGAGAGGAGCGGGGTGCGCCGACGCTCTCACTGTCATTTCAACAACAGGTGTGTGTGACTGAACCGAGTGGGACATGTAATGTCAAGTACGGATGAATGATTGTTGCTCTTTTCTTGGCCCCCGCTCATTCCTTGCCCCCGCTCCTGTTCCTTGACTTCTCGTTTGCCCACCCCCTCCTCTCCCTCCCAACCTGTCTCGCCCCACTCGTTTCCCCTTTTCTGCAGATTTTTGGCCCAGTGAGGGGTCGCTGGGACGCATGCATGGGAGTGGATGCCAAGAATCCCCTCGCTGCTCCCACCCTGCTCGATTCGACCTATGCCTTCTATTCCTTCCCTTCCCCCCCCACCTCACGTGCAGATTTTCGGCCCAGTGAGGGGTCGCTGGTACGCATGCATGGGAGTGGATGCCAAGAATCCCCTCGCTGCTCCCACCCTGCTCGACTCAACCTACGCCCTCGATTGCTCCCTGGAAAGGCTCGGAGCTGCCAGGCTCGTCGTCTGGTATTCCCCAACAAGACGGGAAGGCATGGCGGAGGTTCGGTTGCTGGACCGGTAGTTGATGCTATGACGTACGAACCTCAGTGGGTATGGTACGTCCTATACACTACACTGCACTATACTGCTGCTGAGGTTCTCCCGCGGTGCATGTAGCTAGTGAAGCTTGCTGCAGGTTTTCCCAATTGTTACTGCCCCACACAAATCTCCATATGTATGGTAATGGTACTCAGATTGCTATTCCCATTTGTCTGACCTACAAGTTTGTGCCTGATTCTATAGGTGGCGGATACGGTAGGTAGGGAGGGAACTGAGTATAGGATTGCTTGCTCGAAGGACTAATCATTGGCTATCCATTGGTTTGAAACGTTTCAATGAAAGTGTGTTACGATCCTGAACCATTCATTATAGGATTAATAAGTCCAACAAGAGTAATGTCCTGAACCACTTACAGTAGTTCCAAATTACTCCACCTCACTCACTGCCCTAATTGCCCTAAACCCTTCCAGTGAAGCATCCCTATCATTGATCTTCTATCACACTACACTGTCACTGGCCCATCTGACAGACATCATGATGCATACAACCTTGAATTGTTCCTCCCTATTTCCAGGATATTAGCCTGGACGGCATTTCCACTAAAAGAGAATGTCCCTGCAACGTTTACTGTTGCACAGGAGACTCCAGAAATTTTGACTTGATGAATTGCGACCCTGTAAGGTCACGCTATGTAACAGGTTTCCACCTGCATCACAAGTCACGCGCCTTCATCCACTGCACATACCACCAGTCTCCATCCACTTCACATCTTCAGATCTTCCTCATCGTCGTTACAATTGCATGGCTCTCAAACCTGCATCACGCGCTTCCTAGATCCTCCTCTCCTCAGTGCCACACACCAGGCAGTCAGAGGGCGAGTCAGTGAGTCAGTCAATGGACATGAGCTGGCGGAAGGACTGGCTGTTCATCTCAACGTCTGTCAGCCCAGCATGCCCGTTCAGGATGTCTCTGCGACTCAACCCGTGCATCTGCGACTCCCGCATCATTGCCACAAACTCATTGTAGTCTATTGTGCCGTCCTGCAACGTAAACAGTGAGGGAGGGAATGATGAAGGTGGGAGCAAAAGAGAATGCCTCTGCGACTCAACCCGTGCATCTGCGACTCCCGCATCATTGCCACAAACTAGTTGTAGTCTATTGTGCCGTCCTGCATTGGACAGACAAGTGAGCGGGGTGGGTGCAACGGGGGTGGGGGGCAAGAGGAGAAAGGAGAGATAGAGAATGTGCTTATGACTGCGTCCGCGCCTTGAACACCATTGCTGCACACTCGTTGTGGTCTACTGTGACAATTTGTAAGACGCCTGAAAGGTCTACTGCACCATCCTGCAACAGCAGAAAAGTGGGGGTGGGAAAGAAGAAAGATACAGAAATAGTTCTATGAGCACAAATCACAAGCACTGCACCCTGAGCACTGAAGCATATCCACGCAAATGAGGCCTTTTTTTTTTTTTTTTTTTTTTTTTAAACAAACGCACCGCACCCTGAGAACTGGAGCGTCTCCATCTTACCCCCATCTTCACCAACTCACATTGTTCTCGTCCACCTCTCGCATCATGGCCTCTATCTCCTTGCGGCTCATCTTGAGCTCCTCACACGCCTTTTGCAGTTCGTCCAGGGTGATGTTACCGCTTCCGTCACGGTCGAAGAACGCAAAGGCGCGCAGCAGGTGCTCCTGCTGGTCCAGCTTGCTCAGATGCATCGTGGCCGCCAGAAACTCCCCGTACTCGATCTCCCCACTCTGATCTATGTCCGTCTGCTCACAACCGGGGGGAAGGGGAGGGGGGGGGACGGGAAGCGGAGCAGGGGGGAGGAAGTGGGGGAGTGGGAGAAGAGAGAGAGGGTGCGGAACAACGAGGAGTGTGTGGGGAATCGTTTTGAGGGTGCACTGTGATATACTGCACGCGTCGCCTAAAGAGACAGCAGAGCACCCACCCATCTCTTCCATGAGCTTGTTGATCTCTAGATCGCTCAGATGTGCTCCGGAATTCCTCAGCCCTGTGCGCATCTCCTCCACTCACTGTGATGGTCACTCTGAGGCACTGCAGCAATCATACACATGGTGGCTCCGATGTGCACTGCCTTGAGAGAAAGCAAAGCACCCACCCACCTCTTCCATGAGCTTGTTGATCTCTAGATCGCTCAGCTGCGCCCCGAATTTCCTCAGTCCAGCACGCAGCTCCTCCACTGTGATGGTGCCGCTGCGGTCCGTGTCCATCACTTGAAACATCTCTCTTAGCCCGCGGATCTCCTCCTCCCTCAAGGACTCTGCAATGACCTGCAGAGAACGGTAGTGAGGAGGGGGGGAAGACACAAGCACATGATGGTGCCGCTGCTGTCCGTATCCATCACCTGAAACATCTCTCTTAGCCCGCGGATCTCTTCCTCCCTCAGGGACTCCGCAATGACCTGCAGAGGATGGCGAGGAGGAAGGGGTCAGAGGGGGGGGGAAGGAAAGACACAATTCATGATGGTGCCGCTGCGGTCCGTATCCATCACCTGAAACATCTCTCTTAGCCCGCGGATCTCTTCCTCCCTCAGGGACTCTGCAATGACCTGCAGGGTCCAGGACAAGGCAGCAGCAGGCAGCAGCAGTGAGGGATGAGAGTGCGTGCGGCGCAGCCCCGCCACTCCACTGTGATGGTGCCGCTGCGCTCCGTGTCCATCACCTGAAACATCTCCCTCAGCCCGCGAATCTCCTCCTCCCTCAGGGACTCTGCAATGACCTGCAGGGAGCAGGACAAAGCGGCAGCAGAGAGGGATGAGATGAGAGCACAGACCCGCAACTCCACTGTGACAGTGCCGCTGCCACGCTGCGGTCCGTGTCCGTCACTTGACACACCTCCCTCAGCCCACGAATCTCCTCCTCCCGCAAGGATTCGGCAATGACCTGGAGAGGACGGTGAGGGGGACAAGAGCGGGTGGAGAATAAGAGCGCTCAGTCGGTCCGTGTCCATGGCAATGAAATATCTGCCTCAGCCAGCCCACTGATATCCCCAGCACTTTATTCATGCCCCTGCGGAACCATGTTAGTGTGAGAAAAGGAGTTAGAAATGAAGTTTATGATGTGATAGAGAAACAAGGGGGGTATACATAGTAATGGGGTTGGATGCTAGCCTAAGGTGCCATTATTGGACCCCAACCAAGAGGTTGGGTTGGGAGATTATTGGTGGGGTCCAATAATGTTGGCCAAGGCCAACATTATTGGAGGGGGCCAATAATTCTACCCAACCCAACCTTTTGGGGTCCAATAATTGGACCAAGGCTGGGTTCCAACCTACAAACTGGGTTACCCCTGTTTGTACTAAGTTTGGGTGCTTAACTCTAGCCTAACCTATAGCATATATGCAGGTTACAAGAGAAGAGGGATTCTAACACAACCCCTTAACCGGCAGAGATGCGGAAAGGCGTGAGGGAAGCAACCCCTGAATCAAGGCGCGCCTGGGGGAGCGAGGCCGATGAGGCGGAGAAGAGCAGAGTGCGCAGGGCGAAGAAGGGCTTTGGTAAAGATATCAGCCAAGTTGGCTTCAGCAGCGATCTTGCGAACGGCAAGGAGGTTCTGGTGGCGAGTTCGCGGATGAAGAAATAGCGGAGCTCAATGTGCTTGGAGCGTCCATGAAAGACGGGGTCCTGGGTGAGATGGATGGTGCTAGCGTTGTCACACCAGAGCGTGGGACAGCGCTGGGGTGCTCCAAGCTCTGCCAAAGGAAAACAGAGCCAGCGGGACTCTTGCGCGGCCATGGTGCCAGCATAGAGCTCAGCTTCGCAAGAGGAGAGGGCAATGGCAGAGGAGCGAGTAGAACGCCAGCTGATAAGCCCGCTGCCGAGTGTGAAGCCATAGCCTTGCGAGGAGCGACGGTCTGGCTGGGAGTCTGCCCAAGAGGAGTCGCTGAAGCCAGAGAGAAGGGGAGGGGAGGATCCACCCAAGGTGAGGGCGTGATCCTTGGTGCCACGGAGATAGCGGAGGACCCGCTTGGCGGCAGCCCAGTGTTCTTCAGTGTGGCGGCCGGAGCCGACGAACCGAGCAAGGACGCTGATGGGGTAGGCGAGGTCGGGACGAGTGCACATCATCGCGTACATCAGCGACCCAACAAGCTCGGCATAGGGCCGGGAGGAGGGGGAGGGGGAGGTGGGTGGCGCAAGTTGGTGACCGAAGGGGAGGGGGGTGGAGACCGGTTTGGCCTGCGCCATCTCGAACTTCTCCAGGACCTGGCCGATGTAGTGGGACTGGGAGAGGGTGATGGTGCGGGCGGGTCGATCACGAGTGATAGCCATGCCGAGGTAGTTCTGCAGCGGACCAAGGTCCTTGCACTTGAGACGTTCCTGAAGTGACCGCTTGACTTGCTCCATGTCGGCCTTGGTGTCAGCGAGCAGGATCATGTCGTCAACGTAGACCGAGATGAAGAAGCGACGGGGGGAAGAGCGGATGAAGAGGCTGGCATCGGAGTGGGAGGCGGAGAAACCAAGGGACTGGAGAGTGGCAGACAGCTTTGCATGCCATTCTCGTGGTGCCTGCTTCAGGCCATAAACAGGTCGCCGAAGTTGCCAGACGGTGTTGTCAGGGAAAGCAGCATGAAACCCGGGAGGCCGACGGAGGTAGATGCGCTCGTGCAGTTCGCCTTGCAGGAACGCGTTGGAGACGTCCATTGAGTCAATCTCCATGTCGTCACGCGCACCAATATCCATGAGGGTGCGTAGGGTGGCCTGCTTGACAGTGGGGGCAAATGTGAACCAGTAGTCTTCAGCCCAGGTCTGGGTGAACCCCTTGGCAACGTAGCGGGCTTTGTAGAGTGGTTCTTCTCCCGGCAGCTGCTTGACTCGAAAGATCCACTTGCCCTCGACAAGGTTGGCGTCAGGGGGGAGGGGAACGTCGATGAAGGAGTCGTTGCGGATAAATGCCTCACATTCCAGGAAGATGGCGGCTATCCACTTGTCAGCGTCAGGGCAGGTGATAGCCTCCTGGAAGGTGGAGGGGACGAAGATGGTGGGAGCGGAGATCGCGCT